TTTTTTTTTTTTTTTTTTTTTTTTTTTTTTTTTGATCTTTGTTATTCAGTAATTGTTGTCCAAATTTTATGCATTATTTTCATTTATTTTTTATTCTGTGATACTCTTCCACTCTCTCTGCAGTCTTTAACATTTAAAGTAAAAATTTAGCGTATTGCCTCAATTCTTTCTGTTATGCTGAGACAATGCTTTCCTTACCTTTTCTTCTTGTTTTCGGCTACTTTGTTCTTTAAATTGAATACTTGTCACTATTTTGCTGCCTTGCTATTATCTAAAATTGTCGAAAGGGTTTTCGAGTTCTAATTGTTTCTGTAGTTCTGTTGTGTGCGACTGATAAATAATTGACATTTGTTCAATAATAGGCTTTTTAATCACGGATATTTGGTTTATAGAAGCTGTTTTACTTCAGAATCCGTATCGCAAAAAATTGCTTTTATTTTTACTTTTATTTTTTTATTTTCTTTGTATAACTTACTCTTTGGGATTGGGGTTTTAGGGAAGTCTTGCGCACAGTTTTTCACCGTTTAAGGATTTGCATAGGCATTCGTAGTTTTTGTTGCACTTTTACATTTCATTCGACTTTTTAGTGCGTTTCGTTGAGCAAAAGCACGGCTCAAGTGTTAATCTTTTTTGCAAGTCTTGTCCTCTACACTTTGTAATCCTGCTAACTTTTGGCTTACTTTGGTAATAAAAAAGTACATCTACAATAAAAGCAATGGCAAAACATTTTTTCTTTTTATTCAGCGCATTCATAATTCGTTATGTTCTCTCTTTGCTTTTTAATAAGAAGCCAGAAGCTAAATTTTAACGGTACACGTTAGAGGTAACAAATTTAAAAATTGCAAATTCAACAAGGACGAGAAGCTTGTTCTTGAGGGACGCGAAACCGTAGGTGTGGAATGTGTATGTATGTTTCATGCTACGACTCCGCCAGCTGCGGAGTTATATTTAGGCGTATGAGCAAAAAAACGTTAAATGTTAGGTCTTTAGGAAACAAAAAAAGGGATACGTAGAATTTTTTGCGAACATAGTAGGGGCGATTCAAAGTACGTAAAAACTAAATACCGAGTAATATGAACAACACGGTCGTATTCTGCAAGTGGGAATTTCGGAATAAATTGGTATCAGTGTTTGTTGAGGTCTTTTTAGCGTTCTCTTTGGCAGTCGTTTTTTGCATCCGATTGTGAGAAATAATTTTTTTTGGTTTGCTTTTGTAATTTTTTACAAGTTTGAAATAAACCTGTTTTTTTAAAAATGATTTCGGTATTTAAAATAACGATTAATTTCTTATTTTGATCGTTTTTCTTCTCTTGTACGCCCAGTCTGTCTAAGATTTCTGTGAATTTTTTGCTCTATTTTCCAATTTTTGCTTTTTAAGAATATGAACAGCTACCGGTAAAGTAGGAAAAATTTGCGTTATTGAAAAAAAAACATTCAGTTTGTTCTTCATATATTGTTTGTCAGGAAACGAAATAAGTCTAAAAGAATTTGAAAGCCATTTGTATTATCTGGATGATATTTTTTTAACAGTTGCAAAGAGATTGTTAAGCAAGCACCACAGCAATAAGGTCCGGATTAGGGTGTCAGAATTTTTATGTCAATTTTGTTTATTTTTTAATAATTGTTTGTACTGTATTCACAAAGTTGAATTTTAATAGTTTGACACTTTCAAAATGAAAGTTAATTGAAAATTTTAAAGATGTGCTGTACGTTATTCGTAACTGGGCAGTTCTTTCGTTTGGATAGTTAGCAGACTTGTTGCTCTTCTAACTGTTGTTCAAGTCTTTATTAATGTTTTAACACCAAGAAACGTTTAATTTTTTGGACAAATTTTGGAACTTGTATATTTTCTGCCTTAATTATTTGTCTATAGTGAATAGATTTTATCAATAGCTTACTATGGCATCTCAATTTAGGCTTCAGAAGATTTAAGAAATATACGCTAGATGGTAAAGTAAACGAGTGTCTTCTTGCGAACTGTTTAAAATTATGGAAGTTGATCCAAATGTGCGGCATCATTTTGAAACCCTGGAATTCAATGACGCTAATGTGAAGACTGGTTGTAACCCAGAGGAAGAACTGATAAGAATAGATCTTATTAAAAACGGTGGTGAACGTATTGCACATCACGGTATTACTTTTTTGATAGCTCATTTTTTGTTTCTTTTTAATTTGTCTTAAAAGAAAGTGTGACATATAAATTTTTTGGGGAAATTTTTGTGCCTAAAGTGAAACTTTCGTAAGTAATTCTTGTTAGGCTCATTTCGTTCACTGTTTTTGTATTTTTTCACTAAGACTTATAATAACTTACTGATGGTAATTTTCTCAGGGATTATAACTGTTTCTTCTGTATACACTTGCAGTATCTCAGCAATGTTTACTTTGTACCTGTAGTTCCGAAAATTATTTTACCTTTATTATTTGTATTTCAGAAAGTAATAAATTGAAAGCTGACAGTGTTCGTGGGGCTTTGGGTGACAGGAGGAATACCAGTTACTTACTGCAATCCACAAAATTAGGGAAGGCTGGCGTTGATAAACTTTATCTAAAAGACATTCCGAAGTCTTTTGAAGTTTACTGCGACAACTCATCGGCGAATGATTCAAATAATGTAACATTTTTCGTACTTTTTTTTTACTTCCCAGTAATAACCTTTGTTTCCGAAGTATTTTCAGAAAGAGTGTGAAAAAAGAAAGGCTGAATCAGCCGATGAACAGTTTGAACGTGTAGATCCAGATGCTACTGTTGAAGGTTTTAGTACTGGAGAGGAAGAAGGTATTCTTCAAGTTTATTTACTAAAAACGATTTCTGGTCATGTAGTGTTCTGTCCTAACAAGTGGAACGGTATTTCAGAAAGCTTTGGTTGGAAGTATGACTTTGGTTTTGACAGTTTAGTTTGTTCAACATTTTCTAGACTGAACGGTAACTCTTCTATTCCTCTGGAAGCCAGTTCAGATGTGGACGGTGAGTGTTACTGTATAAAATTTCCCAAACTCATTGATACGTTACTGCTTATTTATGTTTACTTGAAAACATCGTGGTTATCAGCTTTCCAACCTTCTTTTATCAATTTTTCTTGAAAAATCATTAGGTTTTGTAGACACGGTACTGGTTGACGACTGGTAATTTCAAAACGAATGTATTGAATTGCTGCTGTTACTATTAATATCTGCTCGCAGAAGGTTGATGTAGATATAAAAGCTTTTAACACGAAACTCTGTGAAATCTCTGTTTTATGTAGCTTTTTTATTCGATGACTGTAGATCTCAGCTGTTTGTTACTCAAGAATGTATTGTATTTTTTTATTCGAAGATTTTGCTTTTTTGGAAACATGGTGCGAATTTATTTTTCTTATTGATTGAAGAGAATGTTAAAATATTTCAATCACTGCTAGTTTCGTATCTCTGAATCCGATTAAATTTGGGGTTCAATAATTTCTATTCTCTGGGCTTTCGCATTGTACTTTCTAACTTGAATTTTTGTACAGTAAATTGTGTTGGCTTTAAATTTTGAATTTTTTTCTGTTTTTGCGATGATTTTTATCTTTGTATAGTAATGCATTGAATCATCAGAGATCCTTTGGTGATTCAGGTTTCACCAACATTTTGTATATTGTGTAAATAACGATGTGCTTGCGAAGATTCCCTTGAAAGTTGGAAGCACTAAAAGGTTTTTTTAAGTTTGACGTCATTACGTTTAATTTTCGTGTTTTTTCTACTCTAGGCTCTAAGGAGAACCAGGGGGATCAAAAACTACTTTCCTTTTCTATTCTCTACCCTAATGAGGGTTTTAAAGAAGAGTGGAAAGGCATGGACTCTTTTCGTTCCTTTATTTGCTATGTGCTGGTTTTCTAGTACACGGAGTATTCAGTTATTGGTGGGGTTTAAAAGCTGGATTTTTTGCTTGCTGAGACGTTTGGTGCATCAGAACTGAGTTTGAGAAGTATGGGCTAGGTTTTTCTAATTTAATGCGGTGACTGCTTCAGAAGTGTGCGTTAAATTCGTTAGGTTTTCGCAGGCGTGGTAAAAAAGGCTTTGGAGGTGTGTTACGAGTTGGGGGGGGAGGTGGGTGGAAGGTGGGAAGGATGAAGTGTCGTTTTTTGCTGTGTGTTTTACAATTGTAAAAAAACTAGGCACCAGTGATTTGGTGACAAAAAAACTTTTATAAGATCTTCAGGACCGGAGGTTGAGTCAAATACTTCTGGGGTCGGTTATTGCGGTATCAAACACTGAGTAGTTAACTGCTACTAGACTTTGAAGTAAAGAGTTTTGGCTATCCAAAAATTTGTAGGGGAATAAGGTAATATAATTGTTAGGTACGATGAAGAAAGTTTTGATAACAAGTTAGGCAACTGGATGGGGCTCGTTGGCCAGGAATTCTAAACGTCTAAAGAGAAAGTTTATCTGATATGTTTAGCAGGACTGCAGTAACGTTAGGAAATATATCAAACTATAAGATGGCAAGAATTTAATGAAGCGTTAAATACGAGTAACGGACGAAGGACTATGCTTTACCAGAGTGCTGCACTCCAGGGTTCTAATGAGAAAACTTAAACGATCTTTTGAACTATTCACAAATCATACTTGATCTGCCGTTGCCGTTTTTTTGACCGCCTTCAGTTTTACAGTATTGGAAATCATTCTTTGATAGCATTTCTTTGAGATAGTAAACGAGTTGACCTTTGTGGTCACTCAAACTCACCCAAAACCCCTTCACTAACATGCCACTAACATAAGATTGGGGAAAAATTTATTGACTATCATTATTATCGAGACTGAGTATGCATTTGATAGTGCATTAAAACGAAAAGTTTACTTGACACGTCGAGCGCGATCGCAGTACACTTGCTATATTTTCTTAACAGATAAGAGTGCGATTTTCTGACAAGTTTTTGTACTTAATCTTCTGTGCTTCGAGGTTCGTGCTGAATCGGAGAAGATTTCTTGCAGAACGTTAATCAGTTGTTTTACCTGGTTTCAATTGCAAGGTGATTTGACAACAGAAAGCAGACGATTTTAATACAGAGGCTAAATTTCTGTGGTTTTAGTTTCAACATCCGGAAGGAGCAGTGACCTGTGACGCCAGATATAGAACTACAAATTACTTCTTGTTTCATACAACTACTATGAGTAACACTTTACTAGTAAAGCCATCTTTTTACAGAAGGTTTATTGCTGAAAAGTAATATATAATTTCTTACGATTTTGAGTGCTCTTTCAAAGGATATCTAAATGATATATAT